CAGTGAGAATGCTGCCTCTTCCAGTCCCCCGATGTCTGCTGACCCAGGAGAAGCCGTAACCGGTTCATTTAAACCAATAAGTGAAAGGATGTGGTTTTTGTTGTCGTTTGGTTGTTGGTTGGTACTGAGGGTTGAAATCAGGAGTGCTTTACCACTGAGCTACAACCCCAGACCTTTTTATTTTTTATTTTGAGATGAGGGCTGGCTAAATTACAGAGGCTAGCCTCCTATTTTCCAGCCTCCTGCCTCAGCTGGAGCTACGGGCATGTGCCAGCACCGGGAAGGCTATGGTTTTGTGAAGAAATCACCAAGGTGATTCCGAAGGAGGCTGAGAAGTGATACAATCTGTTACATTAAAGGGTGGAAACAGATTTGGAGGGGCAGAATAATTTGCTGAAGTAATGGTAAACTCCTGGCAGTGGAGAGTGTGGGTGGGGAAGAACAGGCTACTGGCTAGGAAATGGGTCTTTGAATTAGATGGACCTGGTTTGGAGGTCAGCTTCATTGTTTACTGGTGTGAGATGTCGGGTGCTACTTAACATTTCAGCTTTCTTATCTGTAAGGAAGGACACACATTATCTATTACAACGGAGTATTGTAAAGATTTAATGTGGTTGGTCTGTGTGAAGTGCTTCCTTTATATATTTTGCTTGGAAAGGTATGTTGGAGAGAAATTGTGAACAACCTTAAAAACAGCAGAGAAATTCATACTTTATTCTAACAGTCCCTCTGCTCTTATTCAACAACCCATTGCATCAGAAGCTTTCTTTCTTTCATTTTTTTTTTTTTTAAATTGGTGTTTAAATGGAGGGGAACTTTACCTCTGAGCTACATCCTCAGCCCTTTATATTCTTAATTTAGAGGCAGGTTCTCACAAGTCTAAGTTGCTTAGGGCTTCACTAAATTGCTGAGGCTGGCCCTGAACTTGTGATCCTCCTGCCTTAGCCTCCTGAGCCTCTGGGATTTCAGGCATGCACCCCTGTGGTTGGCTCACCATGCCCTGTTTCCTGTGCCCAGCTCCTTTTTGTTTATTGAGAAGGGTCTTGCTAAGTTGCTGAGGCTGAACTCAAACTTGTGATTGATTCTCCTGCCTCAATCCCCCAGGTCGCTGGGATTACAGGTATGGTCCACTGCTCTCTGCTTTTTTATATTTCCAAATGCAGAGGAAATGTCCTACCTCTGGAGATTCTGATACAGGCAGCTGCTAACTACTAATGCTGGAATTGAATTAAAGGGATTCTGACTTTTAGTCCAGTATTTTTCTGATCATTCTGTACTTCCCCTACATTCTCTCTATTTGGGGGGCATTAACATTAGGCAGTCCATCTTTACTGACTGGATCTTTCCTATACCAATTCCTCTGGACCCTTCTACCCTTGTTGGTAAAATGTTGGGCCTCTGGCTTCTGTGGCAKCTCTAAAACAACCAACCAAACAGAACTGCTGACAGTAGCTGAAGTGAGTTAAACCACTACCATACACATCTGGTCTATATACCGGCTGGCTTTCTGTGACAATGAAAAACTTTTTGTTCAATGAAATGATTTTAAGATGAGGCCCTAAAGGAGCCCTCTGTCTTATATTTCAAGAGATATTTAGAAATATGAARGGCTTCATATTATTCCTACCCCTCCTACATCTGTGTGAAATTGTTTAAGCATGAGTAATGAACTAAAATGAGGACAGCCAGGGATTACCTAGAAACAGACAGGTTTAGCAACTTGCTCTATTTCTACAAACCAGGACTTGTAACCCATTCTCCTCACTACTGGTTTATTTATTTTTATTTTTGTGGTGCTGGGGATTGAACCCAGGGTCTTGTGCATGTGAGACAAGCACTCTACCAACTGAGCTATATCCTCAGCCCAACTATTGGTTTGTTTTAAAAATGTATTTTTAGTTAATAGCTACCATTTTAATAAAAAGATACATGTGCAAGGAAATCATTCCAAAAGTGCAAGTGATACATAATTAAGAATTATCTTCCTCCTATTCCAGGCTCTTTCCTTCCAATTCTTCTCCTAGCTTCGACCACTGTTAACAGGTTTTTGGGTATCCTCTCAGAAATATTCTATCCATGAAATATCTTACATATATGTAAGCATATGTGTGAATATTAATTAAAAAACAAATGAGAATTTAGTTTGTATATTATTTGATGCTTTGATTTTTTTCATTCAACATTACAACATGGGAGCAATTTTATATTTGAATATAGAATCTTGTCTTTCTTTTTAATAATTGCATAATAATCCATGGTATGGTTGTAGCACAAATTATTTAGTCTTAACTTCCAGTTTATTTTCCTGATGTACCTTTTTTATTGTTGTCGAAGGCAATACTATTCTCCCAATCATTCTGGCTCTAAACCTTGAAGTAATACCCAACTTCCTCCTTCCTGGTATCCAGTAAATCCTGCCAATTCCTTCTTTACAATGTTTTCTCTAGCCGGGCATGGTGGCACACCCTGTCATCCAGGCAACTTGGGAAGCTGAGGCTGGAGGACTGCAAGTTTGAGGCCAAACTGGGCAATTTTTGAGACATTGTCTGAAAAATAAAACAAAAAGGGCTTGGATGTAGCTCAGTGGTACAGTGCTCCTGGGCTTGATACCCAGTACCAGAAACAACAACAACAACAACAAAAACAAAACACCCAAACAAACCCCTAAACAACAACAAAAACTCAAAAACCAATGTTTTCCCTATTGCATTTTTTATTCTCATTGCTAATTCTCTGGATTAGGCTTTAACATTTCTTACAGTGTCTATCTTCAAATTCTCCAGGTGTTTCTGATGCAATTGTTGTGGATCAATGGAACCATTAAAATAAAGTAAAAATCTCTCTGTTCAGTAGTTAAGGCTCTTTACAATTTCAACCTTTCCCGCCTCATTTCTTTTTTCTTTTTTTCTGCAGWACCTGGTATTGAACTCAGGACCTCGAACATACTACACAAGTGCTCTATCATTAAGCTACATCTCTAGCCCTATTTCGAGATAGGGTCTCTCTAAGTTGTATAGGCTGGCCTTGAACTTGCAATCCTCCTGTCTCAGCTTCCCAAATTGCTGGGATTGCAACAAGTCACTGTACCTGGGCAACTAATACTTTCTTTTTTTTTTTTTTTAAACTTATTTTTTAGTTGTAGTTGGACACAATGCCTTTATTTATTTATTTATAAGTGGTGCTGAGGATCAAACCCAGGGCCTCGCATGTGGTAGGCGAACACTCTGTCGCTGAGCCACAACCCCAGCCCGGCAACTAATACTTTCTTTCTTTCTTTTTTTTTTTTTTTTTTTAAAGAGAGAGTGAGAGGAGAGAGGAGAGAGAGAGAGAGAGAGAGAATTTCCAACATTTATTTATTTTTTTTAGTTCTCAGCGGACACAACATCTTTGTTGGTATGTGGTGCTGAGGATCGAACCCGGGCCGCACGCATGCCAGGCGAGCGCGCTACCGCTTCAGCCACATCCCCAGCCCCAATACTTTCTTTTAAAATTCTTTTTAGTTATATATAACATTATGATACATTTTGACAAAATCACAAAAGCATGAAATATAATTTTCTCTAATTCAGTCCTTAGCATTTCCCCTTCCCTTTCCTCCCTCTTACTGATCCCCTCCCTCTACTCTACTGATCTTATTTATAGCTTTTTTCCTATAACTTGATGTTGAGATTCACGGTGGTCTATTCATGCATGTACATTTGGAAGTTCAATCAGATTCATTCCACTATTCTTCCCTTATCAGGTCCTTCCTTTCTCCCCCTCAAACTCTTGATCTATTCTATTGATCTTTCCTCTATTTTGATGGAGTTTCCTCTCTCTCTTTTTCCCCCTTTCTCTCCCATTTTCTTTCTTCCCCTTTATTTTGCATTAGCTTTCACATATCAGAGAAAACATTTCTCCTTTGACTTTTGGGAATGGCTTATTTCACTTAGCATGATTGTCTCCAGTTCCATCCATTTACTGGCAAAAGCCATAATTTCATTCTTCTTTAGGCTGAGTAATATTCTAATGTGTACATATACCACATTTTCTTTATCCATCTGTTGAAGGACATTTAGGTTGGCTCCATAGCTTGGCTATTGTAACATGTGCTGCTATAAAATTGATGTGGCTGCATTCCTGTAGTATGTTGATTTTAAGTCTTGGATATGTAACAAGGGGTGGAATAGCTGGGTCATATGGTAGGTTTTTTTTTTTTTTTTTTTTTTTTTTAAGGAATCTACATACTGCTTTCCAGAATGGTTGCACTAATTTGCAGTCCTGCCAACGATATGAGTGTACCTTTCCCCCCACATCTTCACCAACATTTATTATTACTTGTATTGATAATTACCATTCTGACTAGAACAAAATGAAATCTCAATGTAGTTTTGATTTTCATTTCCCTAATTGCTTGAGAGATTGAACGTTTTTTCACATACTTGTTAGCCATTCATCTTACTTCTTTTGAGAAGTGTCTGTTTAATTCGTTTTTACTGTTTTTTTTTTTTTTAATAGTTTCGGGCAACTACTACTTCTTTACACCTTACTCCTCACACCTTCCAGTCACACCTTTTTAGCCACATAAATCCTGTCTCTATGAAGCCTTCAGGTCAGAAGTGATTGCTGAACTCGATTCTCTGAACCGGCTTTCAGTCACATTCTGCCCAGGATCATAGTTTTGGATTCTCCAGCTCGCCCCACTTCCCCGTTCCCTTCTAAGATCGCTGTCAGCAGACAATTAGTTAGATCTTTCTTTCTACGCATGCTATCGSACCTTTTGCACTTCGTGGCAAAAGTGTTAAGAACTTCTAGGGTAATGCCATTGCTTGACTTGGTCATCACTGCATACAYAGTGTGGCTAATTTTTCCTGGCTTACAGTGGACTTTCAACACGTATTTGCGGATTCAATGAATAAATGAACAGAACACCCCCCAGCATTGCCCAGAAAACTACAAATCCCGGCGGACACTGCGCGGACGCCGTCGGACGTAATGACGCAAGGGGGCGTGCCGAGCCCGAGGGAGGGGTCGTTCTGTGGGTTGCCGGAGGCTGGGGCTGCTGTGGAGACTGGGGTGTGAGAGCTAGTGCGAGGGAGCGAAAGGTGACCCGTGCTGAAGGAGGGGACGCACTGCCGGGCGCCCCCAGTCTATGGAGCGGAGTAAGATGGCGGAGGCGGAGAGCCTGGAGACCGCGGCCGAACACGAGCGGATCTTGCGAGAGATCGAGAGCACCGACACGGCCTGCATCGGGCCCACGCTCAGGTACCCCGGGTACCGGGACCGTCGACGGGCGGGCACGGGCAGGACAGGGACAGGGTCCTTTGGATTTGTGTGTGGTTCGGCTGCCGGCAGGGCCGGTGCCAGCCCCTCCCTTTGAAGAGACCCGCTRGCGACCTGCATCCTGCGCGAGGTGGGTCTCCCTGCGCAGCCCCGACGTGGGGTCCCTTCTCGGTCGCCAGCGCCTCTCGACCAGTTACTCTGTAGGCTCTGTGTGCCGACTTCGGGCGGGGACAGCCTTCGTACTCCCTGTGAGGCTAAGCCCAGCGCCGGGGAACAAGAGATCTCCCGACAGATGGTGGCAGGTCTTCTCCCTGGGGACATCATCCTTCTCCCTCAGACTCAAACCCTGTCCAGTCCTAGCCMTAAGTCCTGCTGTTCAGACAAAACAACATTTCACTCCACTCTCTCTTGCTTGAAATTAAACTCTTGCCTCAGAATCACAACCACTTCTCAAAAAATGAGTCACTGAAATTCCTAGGCCCTGGAAGGAAGGAAGGAAGTTTCTTTCAACCCGTGCTCCTCTCCTGAGAGCCAGTGCTCCTTGAACCCTTGTTAGGAGGTTGAGATCTTCCCAAGGTGCCTCATGGTGTTTTTATCGATGAGGAAAATTTATCCGGCACCCGCACCCAGGTACCATTACTTTGCACGTACACCCCGTTTTTATTTTTATTTTTTGGAGATGTCAAAGCAAACTCAGACCTTCCTCAATTTATTTAAATACACACACGCGCCCGCACACACACGATTTATTTAAACCACAAAAACAATCCTAGTAGGTAGGTGCTATTCTTACTCTCATTTTATAAATAAGACATTGTGCTTAAGTGACTTGGCCAAGGTCACAGAGAAAGTAAAGTGGGTGGGTCTGGAGATTCCTACTCTGTCTGGATCCAGACTCCTCTCTCTCTCTCTCTCTCTCTCTCTCTCTCTCTCTCTCTCTCTCTCTCCCTCTCCCCTCCCCCCCCTTTCTTTTGCAGTGCTGGAGATTAAACCCAGTCAGTGCCTTGCAGCGCAGTAGGCTAGTGCTCTACCACTGAGCTGTATCTTTAGCCTACAGACTCTTTGCTGTTGTTCTACCTCACTTGGGGATTACCATCTACCATACTTCCTGTTGAAAATTACTCACTAAGCCTAATTTTGAACTTTTCCCTTTCCCCTCAGTTTACTGGTGCGGTGGAACTAATTCATCCTGGTATTTTCAGGTGATGCATTTTGATTTCCTTGCATCCAGTATGTAGATAGTTAGCTTATCCTCCTTGTCCAGTCTTGAGTCACTGCTCCTCCTGTCAATAAAGAGTTACTACTCTCCACCTGCTTTTTCATGGGGAAAGTTGCTTTTTRAAACAGTGCTTTAAGGAAGATCAGCACAGCTTCCTTCTGTGGGGTGGGGGCCCCCGGGCAAATCAGCCTAGTTTTCTCAGTGTCATCCCTGGAAATAATCGTCCTTAGTAGTTTGCCTTTGCCCCTTTAAAGCGATTTTTGGGGTCTAATTCTACCATATAATTGTCCACTTTGCGTTGCATTATGATTGTAACCAAGCTGTCCCCTTATTTCCTCCTCCTCTTCCTCCTCCTCCTCCTCCTCCTTCTTCTTCTTCTTTTTCTTTCTTTTTTTTTTTTTTTTTTGGGTACAGGGGATTGAATCCAGAGGTTCTTAACCTCTGAGCCACATCCCCAGCCCTTTTTATCTTTTGAGACAAGTTCTAGCTAAGTTGCTTAGGGCCTCACTAAGTTGCTGAGGTCGACTTTGAAATTGTGATCCCCCTGTCTCAGCTTCCCTAGCCGCTGGGATTCCAGGCGTACACCATTGCATTCAGCTCATTTCCCAATTTCTTAAGCTCTTAAGGGTCAATGATTCTCTGTTCATAGTCTTTATTTTTCTGAAAATAAGAGGTTATTTACTAATAGTTCCCTAAGTACATCATTAATGGTTATTATTATTTGGTCTTCACAAAATAAAATATTGCTAGAATTACTGAGGATGCTGTTTCAATGTTCTGTAAAGAAATTTGGTTGCTGAGCTGCAGTTGGCAGCCTGGCACAACTCCCACTGGAGCAGTTGGGATTACCATGTTTTTAGGGAGGATTCCTTATTATAGCACCATCCATGTTATCTTGAGTTGTTGCCTGTGGTTTCCAGTTGCTGTTGTTCTTGTTATATGTGATAAAAACTTTGTTATCAGTCTTATTAATTTGTCATGATTTTTATGTTAACCCTCAACCAAATGATAATACACGTTTGTGTCCATTGAAGTTTTGTCTGTGATTTTCTAGCATCATATTGACTTTAAGAATTTATTGAATTATGGTTCAAATTATTGAAATATAATTCAAATGTCATTCATTAGGGAGAATGAATGACATTAGGAAGAATGTCATTCTGTTTACTGTTATCACTGAGTTATTTTTCCACTGTAAATGGGATTTTGTGCAGGTATATGAATGAAAGTATCTTTTGCCTTAAGGAGACATTGGCAAAAACAAAACAAAAACAAACAAACACAAAACTTGAGAGTGTTCCACAGTGTTCAAAAATCATGGCATTGGGCTGGGGATGTGGCTCAAGCSGTAGCGCGCTCGCCTGGCATGCGTGCGGCCCGGGTTCGATCCTCAGCACCACATACAAAGATGTTGGGTCCGCTGATAACTAAAAAATAAATATTAAAATTCTCTCTCTTCTCTCACTCTCTCTTTAAAAAAATAAATAAATTCTCTATCTTTTGTAGTTTAAAAAAAAATCATGGCATTATCCTACCAGTTTTAGTTGCTTTTTCCGACACTGTATATCATTATTAGAAGATTTTCATTTATGCTTTCATCTTCCTTGTGAGATATAACTCTAAMTCTTACTCTCAATTACTTGAATCCTATAAGTAGTACCCCCTGTCTTTTTAGCTCCTATAAGTAGTACCCACTATCTTTTTAGCTTAGCTTGTCTCTGCCCATATTCACAGAGCATGATCTCACCCTTTTTTTCCCCTTATCCCATTCAGAGGCAGCAGCATGCACAGACTAGATATTTCAGATTTCTAGCCTTCCCTGCATGCACCTCCATTGTCATTATCTCTCCATCATAATCATTAAGCAGGTTTGATTAAGTCAGGCAGTAGACTTTCTTCCTTAATTACACCTCAGCTGTAAATATCAAACTCCTCTACCTTTCTTCAAAAGTCTTTCTTACTTTTTCTGTCTTAGAGGCAGTATTTTTATTTCATTTTTTGGCGGTACTGATGATTGAACACAGCTCTTTTTATTTTACTTTGAAACAGGTTTTGCTTTGTTGCCTAGGCAGGCCTCAAACTTGTAATCTTCCTGCCTCAGCCTCCTGAGTATCTGGAAGCATGCACCGCTGGGCCCCACTTGAGATAGTATTTTTAAGACACCAGATTTTTAGCTGCTCCTAAGATAGGTTTTTCTAATAGAAGAGGAACTGAAGAACAGAGGATAACAGAAAATTGATAGAAAATTTAATTAGTATATCCATCCCTAAAATTGCAGTTTAACAGTCTAATTGCATTTTAAGATTTGCTTTCCAGCTCTAAAATAAACAGTGAAATACATTGCCATTTAAAAAATAGCTTTGAGATTAAATTCATATATCATCCACCTATCCATTTATCATTATCATTATTATTATTTTTTGGTAGCAGGAATTGAATCCAGGGACACTTAAGCCACACCCMCAGCCCTTTTTATAATTTTGAGACAGGGTCTCACTAAATTGCTGAAGCTGGTTTTGAACTTGCCATCTTCCTGCCTCAGTCTCCCTACCTTCTGAGATTATAGGTATGTGCCACCATACCCAGCTGAAGTATCATTTAAAACATATAGTAAGCTAGGTGCACATCTGGCATCCCAGCTACTATTATAGGCCACTGGGGAGGCTGAGACAGGAGGATCACAAATTTGAGGCCAACCTCATAAAGTTAGAGAGACTCTGTCTTAAAAACAAAAACAAAACCCCAAACAAAAACATAATTAAATGACTTTTAGTGTCTTCAGGGAGTTGTGCAACAATTACCACAATTTAATTTTAGAACACTTTCATCATTCCAAAAAGAAATCTACACCTTTAATAGTTACTCTTCATTTTGTTTCCACTCTCCCTCCCTGTTCTTACTTTCTTTCTCTATGGGTTTGTCTATTGTGGACATCTGGACATTTTATATTAATGAAATCATATGCTTTTTAAATAATGCATCATGTTTTTAAGGTTCACACATATGGTAGCATGTATCAGTGCTTCATTTCTTTTTATTGCTGAATAATATTCYATTGTGTGGCTATGCATCTATCATTTTATTTGTCCATCAGTTGGTGGAAATTCAGCTTTTTTTCTTTTTTTTGTATTGGGGATTGAACCCGAAGCATTTTACCACTGAGCCACATTTCCAGCCCTTTTAATTTTTTATTTTGAAACAGGGTCTCACTAAATTGCTGAGGGCCTCACTAAGTTGCTGAGGCTGGCCTAGAACTTGTTGTCCTCCTGACTCAGCCTTCAGAGTCACTGGGATTATAGGTGTGCATCACYATGCCTAGCACTTATTTAAATTTTTTTAATATATTTTTTTTGGTTGTAGATGGACAAACATCTTATTTTGTTTATTTACTTTTATGTGGTGCTGAGGATCAAACCCAGTGTGTTATATGTGCTAGGCAAGAGCTCTACTGCTGAGCTACAACCCCAGCCTCGTATTTAACTTTTGATGCACAAGTTTTTAATTATTTTCTTTGGGGRAGGGTACTGGGGTCTGAATCCAGGGACACTTTACTATTGAGTTACATCCTCAGACCTTTACATTTTTTGAGACTGGGTCTTACTGAGTTGCTTAGGGCCTCACCAAATTTCTGAGGTTGTCCTTGAACTTGACGTCCTGCTCAGCCTCCTGAGTCTCTGAAATTATAGGCATGTGTCACTGCTGGGTTATTTTTATTTTATTTACTTTTTGTGTATGCTTTTGGTGTCATATGTAGGAAGCTTTT